TTTGGGAATTTGCGAAATTTAGAATTTGGGAAATTTGGAAATTTGGGGAATTGAGAATTCGGTAATTTGGGAATTTGCGAAATTTAGAATTTGGGAAATTTGGAAATTTGGGGAATTGAGAATTCGGTAATTTGGGAATTTGCGAAATTTAGAATTTGGGAAATTTGGAAATTTGGGGAATTGAGAATTCGGTAATTTGGGAATTTGCGAAATTTAGAATTTGGGAAATTTGGAAATTTGGGGAATTGAGAATTCGGTAATTTGGGAATTTGCGAAATTTAGAATTTGGGAAATTTGGAAATTTGGGGAATTGAGAATTCGGTAATTTGGGAATTTGCGAAATTTAGAATTTGGGAAATTTGGAAATTTGGGGAATTGAGAATTCGGTAATTTGGGAATTTGCGAAATTTAGAATTTGGGAAATTTGGAAATTTGGGGAATTGAGAATTCGGTAATTTGGGAATTTGCGAAATTTAGAATTTGGGGTGTTGTAAATTTGGGGAATTGAGAATTTGGGAAATTTGGTACTTGGGGCATTGTAAATTTGTAAAATTTGTAAACTTACATTCAGAAAAGCACACGACAGTCCTCAGTCCTAATTCAGGAATGACATCCATGCAATAATCTATTCCAGGCTGCAACATCATCTGGTCTAATCGAGGCGCAAACACGGATCCATTTATCAATAAATAATTCGCATCGATACTGCTCTCATTAGGTTCTAAAACATACCTGAAAATATAAAATACACGAATCAGACTTTACTTTGTATTCCTTTTATTGCTTTCGAACACTGTGCTTTAAAATATGGAGGAAAAATCGATATTATACGGAATTCACATATATCATTGTTTATCGAATTCTTCCCAATTTGCACAAAAATTTTTAACAAAAAATTTGAAATACAATATCCTTATATTCGAACAGGAAACAGGAAAGTTTCATTCTAAAATAAAAATTGTTGAATGTAATTCTGAAACAGCGTCATATGAATATATTCCTTCGTCGTTCTGTTTTTTGTACTAATTTATTATGACGCGATTCGCCAGACTACAGATACATAAAAATGTTTGTTATTTGACATTTTTATATCGATCTATTTTTGGAGATATTTAGACAGAGGTAAATTAGAAAATAATTATTTATGTAGATAAAGTTATTTAAAGATTGCTGAACCTATCTGAAGGATATCTTTATCAGAAAAAAAAACTGAAGAAGTTTTATTCAAGGGATTAAAGTCAACGTATTATGCGATAAAGATCTGTTTCTAATAAACAAATGTTACGTAACAATTTTTTTAAATAAACAGTAAGGACATTGTTTTATATTGTATATTATTTTTGGAAATTTATTTGTTTAAGTAAAATTTCAGAAAAATAAATTGTATCATAGTTATTCAGTTCACAAGATTGTAATAATTTATTACTAAAAATGAATAATAGATAGAAGAATTCATTCTTCAATTATTTGACAAAATTTATAAACCGTTTTTGTAGTGACTATTATTTTTTTATACGTATTTATTTAAATAAAATTTCTAAAAAATGGATTGTATCACAATTATTCAGTTCAGAATCTTGTAATAATTTATTACTAGAAATTTGAGTAATTTATTCCTTCATTTATTAACAAAATTTATAAACCGTTTTTATACCTATTTATTTAAATAAAATTTCTGAAAGACCATTGTATCACAATCATTCAGATCAAAATGCTACAAAAATGAATAATTTAATACTGCAAAATAACTAATAAAAATTCGACTAATTCATTCGTCAATTCTCCAACAAAATTCATAAATCTTGAATGAATAATTTTTCATTTTGAAGTAAAACAGATAATATTCAACTTAATATTTTATTCTATATTTCAGTTTTGTTATTTTTATTATTCTTGCAAGTACTCACATTTTATCTTTGCAAGGATTCCCAACAATTGCAACGAACGTGCTTTGTCTTTTACCAGGAGCCAACAATCCAGTTCTGTTAAATCTGCTAAAACGAGGCGAAAATATTGGATCTGTCGACGAGTTCACGGTTCTGCAACTCCGTTCTGAAAGATTCGCAAAAACTTCCCCTTCTGCGCAGCATTTTCCTACTACTGTCAAGTTTTTGTACGCTTCTGGTATTGCCGTATGATTTTGCTGTAATAAATTGTGAAAAAGTCACATAAATTCTTGATGTTCTCATTGAAGATTCTTAGATACAATTTTTTTTAACTATTTAATACATTTAACTTACAAATCTAAAGGAAACTAGAAAGTTAGTTTCATTTTTTAATTTCAAAAGCTGAAGTTTGTGACATTAAGGACTCAGAATACCTTGAGGGTTAAATATTTTCAAGTTTTTAATTTTTTTTAAAAAAGATTAATTTAATATTTGACGTTATGAATGATTGTATAGTGTTTTAGTCACGTTGATAAATTTTTTTTAGTACATTTAAGTTAACAATATTTAACAATCATAGCATTTTGAGTTGTTGTATGACACAAGTTAAAGAATTTCTCTTGGATATTTATTTTTGTCAAAGAAGATATTTAATATCTGACACAATGAATGATTGTATAATCACTTTGATAAATATCTCAGAACGTATTGAAACAAATTCCATAAACAATACAATGTGTCCATGAAGTTCGGAAATATGTGACTGCTCTTAATCCATCAGTTAACTTGAGAATATTAAACTAAACAATATTTGTTGCTAAGATAATAAAATTTATATAATCATTTACTGTTATATTACACGATCATTTACTGTTATACTACATCATCGTTTCCTGTTACATGATCGTTTACAGTTACATTACAGAATCATTTGCAAAGCTAAATTACGCTTGCTCGATGAAAAAAGAATTTGAAGCTTTGAAACTTCAAAGAGGGTTATAGATGGACAGCGATAGTACTAAAAATAACTTCGCAAATATACAAAAATCTATATTCTACTCAGGTAGCTCGATTTGTTGCAGCCTTGGTAATTTTTAACTGAATTTCATTTATCATTCTTCAGATAATTTATTATTTTATTGATGTTAACTGGTTCTTTGCGTAGATATGTATTTTAACTTGAGTTTAACTAATTAACTAATGCATTTTAATACAATTTTATATTTTTGATAGTGGGATTTTTTGGTGGTAGTATTTAGAATTTTGAGGGTTGAAATTTTGCGAGTTTGAATATTTTGAACTTTTACAGATTTTTAAATTTCCACGGATCTACATTCTCAAATTTCCAAATTTTAAGGCACTTGTAAGTTCCAAGTTTCCAAAAATCTAAAAGTTCAAATTTTCAAGTATAGTTAAATTTCTTCACAAATTACCAGATTCTGAAGTTTCAGAGAGCACAGATTTCCACGTTTTCAAATTTCCGAGAGTAAAAATTTACAAGTTTGCAAGTTTCAAGTTCCTAAACTCTTAAATTCCAATTTTTCTACTTCCAAAGTACCAAACTTCTAAATTTTCCTCAATCTATACAACATCATGAGTTTCATGGCTTTGGAAGTTCACAAAATAACCCACTTTAAGAGGGTTCAACAAGGTTACAATTCAACAAGATTACAATCTCCAATCCCACCCCTGAAGCTCTCAAACCTAACACTTCTCTGAAACTTTTCAAACCATAAAACCTAAAAATCTATCAAAAAACTTCGCACCCAAATCTTATTCTCTTACATACCAAAGGAATCGAGTGTATCTTCGGTGTTTTATCCATTCCCGCCCCGCAAATCGCCAGGTCACACAGAAGAGCGCACAACATCAACCAAAGCTTAGAATTTCCAGACATCTTTCCTCGAAATCTATTTATACGTCCACCAGCAATTGTCATAACACGTTTATATCTTCTGTTAAACGTTACAACTAGATTTCCGTACTTCTATCTTCAGAATATTCCCAGAAGTTCAATTTATTGCGTCCTTGCGAGTTTGCACTCAGCGCATCACGTATCGAAAATGGCGGACGAGTAGAAATTTCTTACTATTCGCTGCATCAATGACATCTTATATCTTCGAATCACCTTCTTTATCTTCCTTCGTTAACACTTTAGTTTAAGAAATATTCTTTACAACTCAATGAATACGCACTTCGATGATCTTTCGCTAAAATTTGCATTCGATCCGGAATTCGAAGGTTATCCGGTGAAGTTGCTTTAAAGTTCTGAGCTCTATCAATTTACAGGCCCTGATTATTTTCTTGATATCGATTACGGTATGTAAGATAACTCGGAGTATTAACTCTGATAACAGAACAAGTCTTCCTTCTTTTTCCGGGATGTTTCCGTGTTTGTGTGCCGGTCTAAGTGTTCTCTATGTGCTCGATCGAAAATATTTGCCTTTTATCTCTTCATGGATCTGACGATTCAAAGTGCAATCCTTGGGAGATCTATAACAGATAGGGATTCAATTAGACACCTGAACAATGATTTAGTTATTTTACAGGGTTATATAGACCTGTTGGGTTCAGATTTTTAGGGGTAGATATTTTTAGGATTCTCTTTATTTGATATTTAATTATACCTGGTTTATTTGAACTTGAAGTTATTCTAGTTATTAAAATTATCAATTTTGTATTGAAATTAAAATTGTTGTAAGATGTATATTTTTTCTCTATCTACAACTTCTTGTACACAAGAACTTCTTGTTCACTTCTTGTCTATAATAGTGCAAAATCGTTTTCATGAAGGTGCAAAAAAGGTAGTTTTGAACGAAATGGTAGAGGAACAGCTTAAGAGCATTTTAATTTTGTTTCTGATAAACAATCTGATATATCAGAGTTGATAGTGATTAAATCTCCTAATTCCTAAAATAGTCCACATTGCAATCTATAAAATGTTAACAATTAAGAATTACTTGACTTTGCTCTTTTTCATCAAATCCAGCATTTCTTACACAAATTTTTAATACAAATTGTTTTTGAGATTCTCAAATTTAATTTAGTACAAAATCCTAGCGATGTGACACAAATCAAGCGACGTAACATAAGCCAACTACAATCAATGAATCATGTAAGAGGACGAAGTCATCTCAAAAAGAAAGTGCGATGAATGAACAGCTCTTGACCTACATAAATGTAATTTCCGCTGCTCCATCGATGAAAGTAACAAAAAGTGTACCGGTTATTTCCGAGAAATTATTTAGGTGTTTAATACTATCAAACCGGAGTAAATCATAAGAGCTTGGACGTAAAGAAAACTTTCGAAAAATGATATTTCTCTGAAACCTACTTCAAACTTGTTTGTTTAGTCTCGAAAATCAACTTCGCGAGATCAACTTAGTCGAGGATGATTTACATCGAAATCCTGTTATAGTTGGCACTGTTGCAGTCGGGACATGAAGGAGCATTTAAAGTTCAGAGATGTGAATACATCAGTTGTACCGAAATGAAATGATTCAAGGAATCTTTGTTTTGAGGTTGAATAAAATGACTTAATAAATAGAATGGTTATAAGCATTATAGATGAACGATTTGGTAATTTGAAGTTTAACAATCTATGTATTAATTGTGTGGAAATAAAATGATTTAGCAAATAGAATAATTATGAGCATTAAAGATGGACGACTTTATAATTTGAAGTTTAACAATCTTTGTATGTACTATTTATGTGGAAATAAAATGATATAGTAAATAGAATAATTGTAAGCATTAAAGATGAACGATTTGATAATTTGAAGTTTAACAATCTATACATTAATTGTATCTAAATAAAATGATTTAATAAATGGAATAATTATAACCATTAAAGATAGACGATTTTGTACTTTGAAGTTTAACAATTTTTGTAGTAATTATGCGGAAATTAAATGATTTAGCAAATAGAATAATTATGAGCATTAAAGATGGACGATTTGATAATTTGAAGTTTAACAATCTATACACGAATTGTATCTAAATAAAATGATTTAATAAATGGAATAATTATAACCATTAAAGATAGACGATTTTGTACTTTGAAGTTTAACAATCTTTGTACTAATTGTATGTAAATAAAATGATTTAATAAATAGAATAATTATAAGCATTAAAGATGGACGATTTTGTACTTTGAAGTTTAACAATCCATACATTACTTGTATCTAAATAAAATGCTTTAATAAATAGAATATTTATAATCATTAAAGATGAACAATTAGCTAATTTGAAGTTTAAATTTGCATACCAGTTACGTAAAAATAAAATGATTTAACAAACAGAATACTTGCAAATAACGAACATATGTAATTTTAGAATTTGAAGTTTGACAATGTACATGCACCAGTTATAAATAAAGAGTTTCAACAAGTGGAACAGTTATAAACAACGAAGGTAGACAATTTCTGGATTTGAAGTTTGACAATGCACAGACGATTTGTGCAAAAATAAATTAGTTGAACAAGTAGAACAGTTATAAATAACGAAAATGGACGATTTTAGAATGTCAAGTTTAATGTACATGCACTAGTTGTGTCATTTGGCAAAAAGAATAATTTTAAATAACAAAGTTGTTCACTTTGATTCAAAGTTTAACAATCTACTTTTACCAACTGTGCTTAAATAATATAATTTATAATTTAACGTGGAAATAAAATGATTTTGCAAATAGAATAATTTTAAACGACACTGATAGACAATTTGACAATTTTCTGTTTAACAGCATATATTAGTTGTACAAAAATAAAACGATTTAGCAAATAGAATAATTTTAAACGACAGTAACAGACAATTTAACAATTTTCTGTTTAACACCATACTATACATGAGTTGTATAAAAATGACTTAGCAAACAGAATAATTTTAAATGACAGTGATAAACAATTCAACAATCCGCAGTTTAACAATGCATCAGTTGCATAAAAGATTCAGCACAAAATTAATCAAACAAAATAACGTTGAATAATCAGACAATGCAACGACGTAAATTTTACCAATCTGCATACACCAACTGCAGAAATAATTCCGCAAATAAAAGAGTCCTAACTAACTAACAAAATCGAACGATTCGAATTATAACAATACACACCAGTTGCAAAAAACTAAAACGATCCATCGAATAAAATCTGCAAATATCGAAGATGGACGAATCCGTGGCTCGACGAGTTCGATATAACGTAGTTATGGATCACATTCACTGAAAATGGTAGAAGACACTGGATCACGAAACGGAGAACGTATTTCGATGATGTTCACGTGGTTCACGGATCGAGGTCCGAGACTATACTGATCCCGCTCTTGGAACCAGCAAGCCTTTATCTATCGGTGAACGATTACTCGCATGATGCACACACCGTCACAGATTCACTATCCAGGTGTCGTAATACTAAAGCTTCCGTTATGATTTCTTCTTTTTCTTGCTCTCGAAAGAAAATGATTTACTAGAATCAGGAGTAAAAATTTCGTTATTATCGAGGTCGTTATCTATGTGTGGGTATAGTCCTTAATTTATCGAATGATCAACGGTCAACGATTTATAGTACTATTGACTTGTTAATGATGTCATTAATTGAGCGAACGGGTGTGCCGCGTCGGAAACGAAATTAATGTGGGAAAGTTCGTGGTTTGATTCATTTTTGTGGTTGGATTGACATGGGACAGTGGGTGTATGTAAAGTATGTGACTGCTTGTGGTTTGAGGTGTTATTTATAGGAATTTGGAAATTTAGAAATCTGGTAATTTTGAAGGTTCTAAGTTTGGAAATGTGGAATTTTGGAATTTTGGAATTTGGGGATTTGGGGATTTGGGGATTTAGGGATTTGGGGATTTGGGGAATTGAGAATTTGGGAAATTGGGAATTTGGAGATTTGGGGATTTGGGAAATTTGAAGTTTGGGAGATTTGGAATTTGGGAAATTTGGAATTTGGGAATTTTGGAATTTGGGGAATTTTGAATTCGGGGCATAGGGAATCTGGGGAATTTGGAATTTGGGAAATTTGAAATTTGGGGAATTTGGAATTTGGGGGATTTGAAATTTGAGGGATTTGGCATTTGGGGAATTTGGAATTCGGGGCATAGGGAATATGAGGAATTTGGAATTTGGGGGATTTGGAATTTGGGGTATTTGGAATTTGGGGTATTTGGAATTTGACAAATTTGAAATTTGGGGAATTTGAAATTTGGGGAATTTGGAATTTGGGGGATTTGAAATTTGAGGGATTTGGAATTTGGGGAATTTGGAATTCGGGGCATAGGGAATATGAGGAATTTGGAATTTGGGGGATTTGGAATTTGGGGTATTTGGAATTTGGGAAATTTGAAATTTGGAGAATTTGGAATTTAGGAATTTTGGAATTTGGGGGATTTGGAATTTGGGGAATTTGGAATTCGGGGCATAGGGAATATGGGGAATTTGGAATTTGGGGGATTTGGAATTCGATGAATTTGGAAGTTTGAGTATCCGAAACTCCAAATCCCTAAATCATTCATCCCCCTTTCTCCTCTCGATATATCACCATTCTCGTCATTCAACGCCTTGTACAGAATTACGTTAATTCAAGTATCGTGCGACATATTTCTGAATGACACAATGCTCCATATTAATGATCTACTCCTCTCCATATATAGCTACTTTAACAGAGAAAGCATTCCAACAATGTCACGAGTGATTAGTTCATTGAGGAAACCGCGTTTCAGGATTTACCGAACAGTTTCCCTGTTTCCACCTTTATCAAAAATACCTTTCTACTGATATCGAAATTGTGACGTAACATCGGGGAAATTTTTCCACTATCTCCGTCGATATGACGTAGGCGTGAGTTACAGCCGCGAATACAACTTGCTCATCACGAAAGAGCTCGCGTTATGAACTTTACAAATACCATTCTGCGAATTGTAAGTTTCTGCTCTGTTTCTGCGAATCTGTTGCAACGTCGATCAACCACACGCGTACTTTACATTTTCCATGATTTTCGTGATATTTGCAGGCTACAAAACCGCGGGGTTCGATTGAAACCGCGCGTGTCTAGTCTCAACAAAATGGCGGGTAAGTAGAAGAGCGCTTGGGATGAAACATTTATCTATTCGGGTAGTCGTTAGTCATTTCACGTTAATTTCTATTTTGTACTTCTGTTGAAGCGGGTATTTATGTATAAATGTTTCTTATTAGGGAAGGATATGAAGGTAAATTGGTTTAAGTAATACATTTTTTTGGGTACTTAGAGGTATACAGAGAGATGCTTAAAATCTACAGCATATGTATTTAGGTAATCAGTTGTATAATGTAAAATATTTATATTTTATATTTTCAGTGATACATATATTTACGTATACACTCTTTGTACAGGTTTAGAGTAAAAATATTGAATGTTTAACTTGTTCAGAATATTTTAAATAATAAACTTTGCAGGTAATTACAGTGAAGCTCAAAATGTATAGTGACATCCATTTATGTAATCATCAGTTATATAATGTAAATTATTTATATTTTATACTTTTATTGGTACATGTAACTACTGCCAGCGATTTTAAGTAACATCTACTGATTTTTTAACAATTTTTAACCTATTATTGAACATCTCTATGGTTTATTTTGTAAAATACAACAGCAACTATTTAGTGAATGCTGCAATTTACAAAATGCAACTCTCAATACAGTATTGTAAAAAAATCTTCTGTTTAATGTCCTATGATTTTTTTAACATAAGTGTATATTAGACTTCTTAAAGTAACTGATTAAAGTAGGTAATGATTAAAATAGACATTCTTAGCGGGTAGCTGATAACTATCGATTGCATAAGAATGAATTTGAGAAACTGATTTTCCGTGTGATTTGTAGAATTCCTTTATCTGATTATCCATAGCTCACGTAATGTAAAAATAGATAAACAGTATCTACTTTATAGCAAGTTTCCAACCCAAAGATATCGAAGAAAAAGATGTAAGCATCTTTTCAATACTTCGATTGCTCACAATGGTAATTATAATTCGTGCATGAGAATTCCAGATCGAGTACGTAACACGATCATGATTTTTCGAAGTTTACGTTACAGAGGTTAATCACCAACGATAAATTTAGAAAGGTAGCAGAACAGAAAAATATTATCTTTGACTTCATCCAGGCTGAATATAAGTTGAACAATTCGGGACTTCATTTGATCGACTTTAATGGACAATGATATACTCAAAGAGAACTCTCTCAACTTTCTTATTAATCCCTGATTTGCGACTTTTTGCACAAAAATTTGTCAGGAATCACCAACTGCTTTTATACTCCGTTATTATTTGTTATCAAAGATATTTTCTTACCTTCAAAAAACTGTCTTTTGTCAAAATAACATTTTGTTAACTTTATCGTTTATTGAAACAATATTTTGTTCACATTGTGTTTTACTGAAAAGAATATTTTGTTAACATTACTGTTTATTGAAACAATATTTCTTTAACACCGTTTTTTACCAAAAAGAATATTTTGTTAACATTGTCATTCACTAAATGGAATATTTTGTTAACATTGTCGTTTACCAAAAGAACTATTTTGTTAATATTATCTTTTACCAAAAGAAAATTTGTTAACATCCTTTAGACACTCTTATTCTAATTTTAATTGTAATTTATAGAATATTGAAAAAATTTACCTATAACAGAAATTATTACCTCACAAGATGACTATATGAATTTTTTCGTGTAATATGACTAAACCTACCGGGGTTATGAAACTCCATGTGTATTATAACAATGTTAAATATTTCAGATAAGCCTTATAGATTATAGATTACAGATAGCGTATCCACCTGATAAGAGTATCTGATTATAGAAACTTACCAGCTTCTTTTGTTTGTTGCATTAACCAGGGAATCCCTTACAAAATGCATCATCAATGACAAATAACAATTCATTATTTAATATACTTATATTAACCAGAACAAAAATATTCTTTTATTATCAAAAACATTAATTGTTTTATTACTTTTGTATAAATTTTAATATTTTTTTTCATTTATTTTTAGGTTAGGTTTAGTTAGAGGTTAGGTCAATTTTATAGGTTATAGAAGGTTATACTTCGGAAGTTATAGGTTATAACTTGCAAATTTTATAGCAGTTTCGGATAATACACAGCATTTGCATAACAAATTTTATAGCTTGAGAGGTAAAATACAGCTATCAACAGGCAGACTTTGAATTTTAAACTAGTAGAATTTATAACTTCACAAAACTTAAAAAACTTAAACTTGTTAAAGATAATAAATTTCGAGGAAATCACTTTAATTAAACTTCATATTAGATAACATGTGAAATACTTGATAAGGTCCAAATGGATCCAGACCTTCACACGACTGCTAAAACGATTAGTTTCACAAGGGTTGTTAAAATAAATTTTAATAAGTTTTAAAATAAACAAGGGTTGTTAAAATAAAATAAAATGTCTCTGAAATATTTTTTTCAAAAAATGTTATAAAACCTAGTACAATGTACATGTGAAGTATCTGTTGGTTATGTATATTTCTCAGGGGTGTTAAAATAAATTTTAATAAGTTTTAACCCTTCTTAAAATAAACAAGGGTTGTTAAAATAAAATAAAATGTCTCTGAAATATTTTTTTCAAAAAATGTTATAAAACGTAGTACAATGTATATGTGAAGTATCTGTTGGTTATTTATATTTCCCAACGGGGACATAACGATAAATAATAATCGAACAGAAAGGTCCTTGGAGAGTACACATTTGAGCAGACATTTGCGTGCAACACGTGCGGTCTAGGAACGTGATCGGTTGTGCACCTCTCGACTTTGACAGTTATCATTGAACCGTTGAAGAAGGCGGACGGCCGTCAGGTATGTACAATACAATTAAATTCCTAAGTGGCTCGTCGGTTCTCCGTATGCCGATGTTCATCCCGAAAACAATTTCTGACGTCAATGAATATGTACTCGGAAGAAAGTCGATGATAAAACGGATCTGGAGTCGTAACGACATATTTTCTCCAAATACTTTTCCATATAAGAATATGCATCTTTATGTCGCTTCTTTGCATATGTCATTTTTACGTATCCTCTAAAATGTCTTTGATCTTAAAAATTGATAGAGTTTTCTGAATTGATGTTGACTAATTAATCCTACGTCGCATTTAAGAGGAACATAAATCTATAAAGATCGGAGAAGGCTATAATTAAATGAGAGAACTCTGTAATTAAGGATAAAGGGATGTAATTAATTTGTGAAATAATTGCATGGTTATTATGTGTAATCATAGATAATTTTAATATAAGTAAGATT